GATTCGTCCTCTCGTTTTTTTCTGATTTGCAAAAAAAAAAAAAAATTTGATTCTGGTCCTGAATCAACTGAAAAATGCTCATGTTTTGCCCCCAACAGTTTAGGAAAGTCCCTTTCTTCCTATTTGTTACAGTTTTCCCATCTATCATTGCAGTGGTTTGATTAAAAGTTCAAAATTCAATGTTTAAATTTTAACCCAGCCTTTTGTGTTGACTTCATGGCTCATTTCGTAGCATTTAAGCCTATAATAGGATGCGTAGGCCTGTTTCTATTTTTATTTTTTTTTCGCCCTGTCACTTCATATTTTTTCTGAAAAAATCCGAGAACCAACAAATTAAATTGGTGTGGCCTTAGGGTGATATTAAGGCTTTTCTGTGTGTCTCTGTATACAAGTAATCTCATACAGCACAGAACACCCCTGAACTACATGTATAGAGTTGCAATCGTAAGTGTACTACATTGTACATGATGTACATGTACAGGGATCTAAACACACTATGCCATTCTCAAGTGTAGAGACACTACACTGTATATCACTCCCAAGTGTTCTGTACAATATTAAAGTATTTGTGCTAATTATAAGAGGCTAAATAGCAGTGTTGCCTGTTTTGCTGTTGCAGTCCTTAAATTCTCTCAGCATGACATTTATTTTCTATATAGCTTTTAAGCAAAAAAAAAATGGTATATCACAATGAATTTCTTTGTTGATATAAGTTAGACTGTGTGTACATACATTTTGTAGATGTGACCATGAAAATGCTAAAATTTGGAGCTGTTGGCTAAACAACGTATTTAGGATCTTCAACATTTTCAATTTGGATTAATATATCATTTTAGGTTGTAGACACAAGTGTGAGCACAAGGCAGGCCACAAACTTCACTAAGTTACCATGAAATAGGATTTTATAATTAAGTTTGAGAAACATATTATTATCATCAGCTGATAAAATCAAGTCTTAGATGACCACAAAATTGTATCATCCCTTTAACCCAAGAGAAATAATAAAAGGAAGCAAGATGTACACCAAATAAATACTTGCAACTGCCTCTACTATATATTCATGGGACCAATACAAAGGGTCAACTCAAGCGAGTTTCTCTTTGACCAGTGCTTCTAGTATGGAATGCTTCATTACTTGTAACAATCCCAAAGCTTCTCCCCAACCATGCTGTCGTACACTTTCACCCATCACAACGTGCGGCAGTACACATAGCACACATATCCTCTTACAAAAATAGCACATTTCCATGTAAACAGTCCATTGTTCTTCTTTGGTGATACACGTACCCAGAGGTTCCAATCAGTCAAAGCATCAGATTCTGAAGAATGCTATATAACACAAGTACGTGTACATCACTGGTAGAGCCAGAAATGTCTATAAAACATCCAACGGACATTTAACATACGAAAGTTCTGCACATTTTTTAAACATTTGTAAGAATGTCTTTGCCATGTCTTTACAGGGTCTTTTTGGGGAGGACTTGCTTGTGTTTCCCATTGTTCATGAGGTGTCTGTCAGAATGTCTTTAGAAAAAGTGCGAAAACTGACATGCATATGAAAAGCACTGCACAAAGCCAAGACAATTATATAGGGGAGGACACCATTAATTAACAGACAGATGCTAATATCTTTATAAGTACGACATTGTGCTAAACAAAGGACTGTCTCCTATAGGGGTGTCCCTACCTGATGTGTGAAGAGACTATGGATATAAAATGTTCACCTTGGGTTATTTCGATGTCGTTTTTCAGTAACTATGTCTACTAAATGTTCTCCTTACTGGCCTTTGTTCAGCAATGTCTAAGTCATGTCTAATGTCCGTTAGACGTTTTATAGACATTTTTGGCTCTACCAGTGCATGTACCCCTACATGTGTATGTCTCCCATGTACATGTATGGAGATCCTGTGCCCAAATTGCTGCACACCTGGTATTACGGTAACCTCATAATACAGTTTGGAAACCAAACAAGACATGGCATTCTTCATGTAGCTGTTAGAATTTTCTTTTCTTTACGTAACCTACATGTCAAGGAGGTCATGTAATGAAATACAATTTTTTAACTTCATTGAACTACAGTAAACACAAAAGAAGCAGCACATATGGACATGACAATGTGAGAGACTAGATTACAATTCTATTACATGTAGGCACAAATACTACATGAACAGAATGTAGTGACTGTTGACTATAAATGTAGCGACTTACATAACTTTACAACATCAATATAAGTCCTGCGGCAATTACTTTGACTTACATAAAGTTTTTAATTGCAGCAGTTATCTAATATTCATATAATATATATAAGTATAATAATTAAATCTGATGCCTATTAATAAAGAAGTTTTAGATGTAGAAAGTTGTTTTTTTTAATGTGGGTTGTGGAAAAGTCAGCTCTCTTCTGTTTATTTTAATTCTTATCCAATATACTACTAGGTGAATCTGGTAGAAGGACTGTACTGAGTAGTTTGCTTTCGATTTGGGTGGGCAAATTTGTCAATACTTTTACAACCAAACAAACTCAGGACAGGTGAGATAGTACACCATTATGATATCATTTCTTACATATTATGGATTCAGCATGTAACGTTAGTAGCTCTTGCTTATTTTGGTTGTGACATCATTTTTTTGAAAATGTAATTAGTGATTTTAGGTTTGCATCGATTGTATGAATCTGATGAGAAAATCTCAATAAATTGTTGTCATTTCATACCAGGTTCATAAATTGTACAAAACGCTGATATTATAGTCTAGTATCATTTCTTGACAGAATGATGCCCATAGTTTATTCTTTGTTGTTGTTCACAACATAGTCTCTCTCTCTCTAGTTCTTACCATCATTGGCAACATACTGTACAACCAAAGCACACTTAAACATAATTATTACATCTTGCAGCAAAAATGCCACCATTTCCCAACCACATAGATCCATGTTTAAGACAAATGGAACAGGCAACATCTCCTTTTGATTATCACCGGCATCTAAGGACACTAAACAGGCTACTAACAGTCTATCAGTGAGACAGTGACTGCATCACATCTATATACATGAACGGTTATTTTTCCTTTGCATTGTGTGCATTGCTAATAAAAAATAACAACCCTGGCCTCTGTCCCACCACATCCACCAACACTTTCACACATATACAGTCCACCCATCTCTAGTTGATAACAAAGTATAGAGTTACTAGTAAGTTACTACTACATGTATCTTTGCACAGGTGTACATGGATATTATTATCATTATATAATAATAGTTACAAGGGAGAAGATATGATAATCTTCTATAGGTAACAGCAACCGTTAGAGTTAAGGAAGTCAGTCCAAGGACCTACATGTATGTAAAGTTCCTGTCACATATTCAGGAATATGGTTTTGCGAATGCTAGCATGTAACCATGGTTAGGGGTAGGTCGGTACAATGTAGGCTGGTACCGTATAGTCTACTATTCAGCTGGGCCAGCCGAATGTTTCAAAATGTTAAAAACATTCAGGGGTAACGTGGTCAGGATGGCTCAACCAAGTCAGCAGTGCTGGGGGTTAAATTTGACTCAATTTTAACTGAAATTCGTCTTGATTCATACAGAAAGGTATGGCGGGCTGGTGTTGGAGAACAAATTCAGGGAAAGGTCGCGAATGTGTGACAGGGACTTGATAATATGGAATATGGTACAACCTCTCTGAAACATGTCATCAGCTTTCCTAATTCTTTACATGTGGCATGGACAGGAAAATGGCAAAGGCCTTTGAATAGTTTTTGTGGGATGACTATTAACATTTCAATGTCCTTCCTTATGTAGTGCAAATTGTGTTGTATCACCACATAAAACTCCAACTGAGGTCATTTAGACTGTGTCACTTTGCTGTAGGTTCAGTTTTTTGAATGACTTTAGTATGATTGTGACTTTGGGTCATTAGTAGTACACCAGTAACAGAAAGACAGATCTGGGGGTAGTGGGTCTGTTCTCAAACAAAAAGGGCTTTTTCAAAATGCACCATACTAGTTACTACAGTTAGCATCAGCCTTTCTAATGAGCATTTTTACCAATATACAAAAATTTCTACACAATTTCTACAAATATTTGTCCATTGTCCAATCATAACATTTTTTCTCAATACACTTTTTTTAACTTTCCTTTGAATCATTATCTTTTGAAGCTACATGACTCCAGTGAGTGTGCCAGTGCTGGTTACCACAGAAATGCCATTTAGGCTTAAAGGTGCCCCATTCCACCAATCAGAATTCTTGGCTTTCAGATAAAATGAAAACTCTTACCTGATTGGCCGGCCCGTGTTGCAGCACTGATCATATTACATTGTTATCGTACATACATGTACATGTATGAATAAATGTGCTCTATTTGTGCCATTCTGTATCATTATAAGAAGCGAGTTTGGATTGAAATACTAAGTAAAACATGGTGCAACAATGCGTCACTGTGACAACGTTATACAGGTACGTGTAAACGTGTATACCGGTACTAAAGACAGTCAAAATTGCTGCATTTCTAAATAGCCAGTTAACACAAAACTGTCAAACTTAATTGTTTTATAGCGATACTATGTGGTATTCAATGAAATATACAAGCTAATAATGCAGCTCACTCATGACAATATAACACATATTTTATGGTTTACTTGACAAGTCGTAGACACTTATAATGTCCCTCTGATTTTCCCTAACCAGCGTGCAAAATACCTGGTTGCCCAGTTGCCCCGGGCAACCAAATTTTACTTGGGGCAACCTATTTTTGAACCTGGGTAGCCCAGTGTGCTACCTGAATTTTAAGAATGCCCCCCCCCCCAATCATGCCCACTTGGCTTGCACCACTGTATCCGGCAGATGCTATTTAATTTTAGGTATTAATGGCTATTACTAGTATCAGTTCACTAAAGGCTGTTAGAAATATTGTCAAAGGCTTATGTATGTAACCTTACTTAATTTTAGGAAATTAGTAACTTACAGGTGGGGCAACCTAAAATTCTGATGGGCAACCTAATTTTTGCCGTAGGTTACCCACTGGGCAACCTGGTTCAAAAAAGTATTTTGTACACTGCTAACACTCTAGCCCCTCGATAGAGGCCTTGTGCGAAACCTTCCATGTTTATCTTACGTGTAGAAGATGATTTCCGGGATCTGTCCATCCTCGACGGACGTCCCGTTGTTGTTGCCGGCGGCGTAGGTGAACTGGAAAATGACCTTCCCGCTGCTGGGCGACTCGTGGATGACCTTCCGCATGCCCTTTGTTCCGTAATGAGAATCAGGACCCTGTAATATAGGGTAATCATACAAGACAGGGCTCAAAATATTGGATGATTCATTGTACAGACTGTGTATACGTACCTCAGAGTAGGCAGGGTTCTAGCTAGCACAAAGTAGCGTAGGGGCCCCCTATGCTATAATTTTGACCCCCTACGCTAAATTTTCCCCCCTACGCTATAATTTTGACCCCCTACGCTGAATTTCCCCCCTACACTAATTTTCAACATAGCATAGGGGCATTGTGACTGTATTTCTTTGTTCAAGAATGCCAGATCAAATGTGAAAAACTATCAAGGATACCTTTTAGTTAGAAATAACATTTTTTCCCTTTGGGTTTCCCTCAAATGGCCTCTTTTTTAGCTCAAATTTTTAAAAGCTCCACACCGCGGAAGGACTCCTGGGCCCATTGACAGGCGTCCAGTACCACTACGCTAAAATTACATCCTAGCTAGAACCTACTAGGTAAAAGTGGCACTGTGCAGATATTTCTGATGTCTACCTGCACCTAAAAATGTTGTGTTTCCTGTTTCCCGACTGACCCTAGAAAAAAATGCTGACCCTAGCTTTTTCATGGTCCCTGCAAGAGACATGAATTTTTCGAGCTGATCGACATTTTCTACATGTAGCTCCATGACAGGTGACACCTGAGTGATGAAACGTTGTACAATCGGTTTTCCAACATTGACATTGAAAATATACATGTCCTCATGCAAGTTTTACTTCAGAAGCTTTATTGTATAAGTTGGATCACTAGAGATTGCCAAAGTCTGATAAGATAATCCCTACCTACCGACACAAATTTTTTCAGGACTGAAACAGGAAACACAACATTTATTTTTCCTTAGGCCACACCGACTTAATTTTATGGATGACATCCGCGTGCGCATTGATTTTCGCCTGTTCTCAAAAAAAAAAAAAAAGATTACTGTCATCCTTCTGAGGCTCTGGCCTGGCTCTAGGCCTGGGTAGTCCATGGTAGGTAGCGACATTATGGAGCCGGTGGTAACTCTGGAGGATGGCACCCAGGCTGCCGAAGCTCCACGATGGCAAGAACTCAGTACATACGTACAGTGCCAATTCATAAATTCCGCAAAAAGGCAGCATGTGCCGGTTTGTCGTATATGTCGCTATGTACTGCCGTAAATTCACAATACTAGCTTTGTATTCCAGTGGTTTAGTAGCATCTTTATTTTTGGGCAGAATTTTTTTTTATTCGCCCGCGCGCACTAGTTTGGGGGCCTTCAGAGGATGTCATCCATAAAATTAAGACTGTGTGGCCTTAGGGCCCTACACTCAAAGAACACTGACAAACCTTCAGGGTTGCACAAGCGGTGTAGCTGACGTTGGGTTGGATCTCCACGGGTTCCTTGAACATGACGCGGAAGGTTGCGTCCGAGCCGTCGCAGCTGAAGCCCGTATCGTTCTGACCCAGTACGGTACCCGAGTCCGTCTGGATAATCTGCGGAAACAGACAAGGAGCTGGATCTTAGACTTAGGCCACATCAATTTAATTTGTTGGTTCTCGAATTTTTTCAGAAAAATATAATGCGACAGGGCGAATAAAAAATAAAAACAGGTCGAGCCATCTAGGCATTCTATTATAGCAACAATACATCCTATTATTATAGCAACAATTAGAGCAACAATACATCATGTTGCAATTTTATAGCAGGAGGCCTAGGGATTTAGACTCCTGTCTGACCATAATTATGTTTGAATGTGTTTGAGTAAGAATTAACAAAGCAGACCATATGCGAAGGAAAACATTGCAAAAAAGACATCTTAGAATAGCTGCATAAGTAGAGACACTGAATTTTTTTTATCAACTACATGTATATAGTATAGCGTTTTGTAGCATTTATATGTAGAATTTTAACATTCCTGGCAAGTAACTTAGTATACACTCTGTTTAGTAGCCATAGAACATGTTTAGTATAATTAGGTACAACTGCTCACTGTACCCTTCATGTGTATAGTTTAGCGTAATGTAGAATGTACATGTAGAGTTGAAATATTCCCTAGCTATATAGCCAGTAGTTCTTTATAATACTCTGTCAGATACAATGTCCGTTGACCATATATATAGCATTATGTTAGACGCATACCAACTAGTAATCTTATTATTTGCCATACATTGTACCCGTGACAATCGTTGTGCAATAAACTTTGACTATTTGTATCTTCCACATTTAGAACACTGACCTGGATGTTGACCTGGTAGTCGGTGGGTCCATGGATGGATCCGTACAGGCCAAACCCAACAACAAAGATGTGTCGGTTCACCACAAACCTATCGTAACAGAAATGGTACGGTTATGTCAGAGTTACTTGTATGTAGCCGGTGTGTTATGCCGACGGGCGATTATACCGGCTATACCGATACAGAATCTGATGTACAAACATGGAAGTCCATGCCCGTACCCAGGGGGGGTTCGGAAGAACCCCCCACAAGGCTCAAAGGTCAACTTTTTGGTCCACTTTTTATGTAAAGGTCCAAGATTTCTCTTGAAAAGATAGACTGGAATTGTAGAAAAACTGCTCCCTTTGTTGGAAATCCTCTCAAAATGCACGAAATGCCATTTTAAAAGGTTCATTTTTCAAAATTTGCTCCCCCGGAAAACCTAGGAACCTCGCGCCTTCGGCACTCGAGGTCCCCTCAAGCAGTGGGAAGAACCCCCCCATTCAAAATCCTGGCTACGGGCATGGTAGTCTTTGATGAAATTTTCTTTCCTAAGCCTACGCCGTGCTGACCTGATGCGATCGGAGGTCCCGCTGTACCCCCAGCGACTCTCCACGGCGTGGAAACGGTTGATGGTCTGCTCCTTCCCCGTCAGACAGCAGCGCGGCGAGTCCAGGAAGTCCACGGGAGGCTTGGGGTTCACCGTGAAGTGCAGGAACAGACTGACCACCTCTCGGTCCGTCAGGATCCCGGACTGCGCCGGGCCGGAGGCAAACTCCTCAATGGTCATGAGAGGGAAGCGAATGAGGCGCAGCGCCTGTCCCAGCGCGCGCCGCTTGTTCTCCGGCGTGGCGGCCATCTGCTGTCTCTGGCACTCGTGCTCGGCCCACCTCACCACCGCGACAAACAACTTACACTCGCGGATCCCCAGCGTGTCCCGCTCCAGAACCACATTCAGGGTGTCCAAGTCAATATCCACGAAACCCTCCGCGGCAAGAGCTTCTGACGTGTTCTTGTCGATCGTCTCCAGGCAGAGCTGGGCCAGCTGTGGCTCGTCAAACAGGCGCGCCTGGGTCAGAAGCATGAAGGCGTTGTCGCTGCTCAAATTCTTCTTCAGAAAGTCTACACACGCCGACTCCAAGGCGGGAACGGCGTACTTCTTGGCGGTATAAAGCGTAGTCATGACAGTCTCTGGTCCGATCTGAACTTCGTCCGAGTACAGGAAGCGTAGGAGAGCGAGGAAAGCAGCAGGCTCGACGTCCGGCAGCTCTACTTCAGCTGAGGTGGTGGCCATGCCTCCGTTGAACATGGCATCAAACACTGCACTGCCAATGGCCAACACAAACTGCAACAGAAGTTGGAGAAATCTCTTATATAAAGTTTCGATATAAAACAAAAACTTTCCTAATCAAAACACAATTTTTTAATAAAATCATTAGATTTCCAAAAATGAACTCAATGTGTTTAGAATTCCCAATGTATATTGACCCTCATGGACCAAAAATACCCAAAATTCTGACAGAAAATGGTAAATGGCGCATGTGCTGGTAAATTTTAATAAACAAATAAACAAAAAATTTAGGGAAGGTATGAGATCGTGGAACTCTACCTTGTGTGCAGGGATCCTCTGCATGCCTTCACCGCGGCCCACGATGAAGTGCACATCACTCATCACCTCATTGTTAAACATGTAGGCAAGTCTGTCCTTCACTGTCGTCTTACTGGCCTGCCAGTTGTACATAGGCTGCAAACAAACAAACAAACAAACAATCTGGTTAAACATGTAGGCAAGTCTGTCCTTCACTGTCGTCTTACTGGCCTGCCAGTTGTACATAGGCTGCAAACAAACAAACAATCAATCAATCAAACAAACAAACAAACAAACAAATAAACAATCTGGTTAAAACATGTAGGCAAGTCTGTCCTTCACTGTCGTTTTACTGGCCTGCCAGTTGTACATAGGCTGCAAACAAACAAACAAACAAGCAAATAAACAATCTGGTTAAACATGTAGGCAAGTCTGTCCTTCACTGTCGTCTTACTGGCCTGCCAGTTGTACATAGGCTGCAAAACAAACAAACAAGCAAATAAACAAACAAACAATCAATCTGGTTAAACATGTAGGCAAGTCTGTCCTTCACTGTCGTCTTACTGGCCTGCCAGTTGTACATAGGCTGCAAAACAAACAAACAAACAAACATACATGTAAATAATCCAGCTTGACTACCCAGTACTTTGTAAGTCTCTCAACATATACATCTGATGAGGGCTCGAAATCCTTTTTTCTGCATACTAGTACCTCATAATCACTCATTTCAGCATTGGTGCAAGTAACATTAAAAATTACCTGCACCAGACAAATTTTACCTGCACCACTCAGACTTTGCACATTAAGCAGGGTTGGACAAGTCCCATTGCCCACTTGCCCAAGGCAAGTAAAAGTACTGTTCGGGCAAGTAAATATCCCCCTGGACTTGCCCGATTGTGCAAGTAAATTTTTTGGATGCAAAGTATAACCCCTGCAGTATTTTGACCAAGTTTCAAACAATTTTGACAAATAAAGCATCCAACGTTATAAACTCTATTATAATAAAATAATTTCCTTTTTGCTAGTAAAATGCAACAAAATGCGTCATATTTTGGGCAAGTGAAATGTTGGTTCGGGCAAGTAGAAATGACCAGGTACTTGCCCGACACGGCAAGTGGATTCTTGAAAACTTGTCTAACCCTGTTAAGCATAACGTTACATCACGGAAGCGGTGGATTGCACATTCCTTGACAAAGACTGGAGTTGTTCAGTCAAAAATTTGGGTGAGTTCAATTTCTTGTGTTGGAAATTACAGTTTAAACTTACCCAGTACTTAAACATGCAAACACGATCATGTGTCAACAACATCAGATTTTTTTTTCCAATTTTAGCCCTGTATCATCATGTGGTGGGAAATTATCTATGCTTGAGTCACACATACATCAAATATAGCATCAGATTCAGAATGAAACATGGCATTTATCCAAACTCATACCAATTTGAATATCATGCAATACAAGAATTAGAACTCTCCAAACGTCTTTTACTGAACTTGCAGTGTTCGAAATACCTGTCTGCAGTCTGCAATCTGCAGATAGATTTTCAAGATTGCAGAAGAAAAATTTATACAATCTGCAATTTTGCAGTAGGAAAAATTGCCACTTGGGATTTGGCGCTCTTGGCCCCAAGGACAGACAACACTTAAGCTCCTGTTCTGAAACAACAGGAGCTTCTTCACTAATTTGCAGCAACCTTGTCTTGACTTGTTTATCTTTTGTTTCCTTTTGGACTTCCAAAAACTTGTCTTCACTAATTTGCATATCAATCAATAGTTCATGCTTATAAACTTGCAAGATTGTAGTATGGAGGCTTGTGTATTTGCAGAAAGTATTTCCAAATTGCAGAACAAAATTTCGACTCTTTAATCTGCAATATTGCAGAGCACTGAAAAAAAGTATTTCGACCACTGACTTGTGACACATGATTACACGACAATCTGGAACTTTGAATCATGTTTGTTAAAGCTAGGACTTACTGTAATTCCTGATTTTTTCAGTTATCGTTATGTTTTCACTGTCACTTCTGTACAGTGAACTTATCATTAAAGATTTAGAAAAAAAAAATAATTCCTGGACTTCCTTTTTCCTGCACCTGTCGCCAACTTGAATACATGTCATAATTTTTATAGTTCCATGAAAATGTCCAGTTTTCTCAGACCGTGAACTTTTGCTACCGTGAACATAAAGAGAATTACAGTACCAGACAAAATGTTGTTATTGAGAATGAGATACAAGTTGCACAAGCTATCAGTATATCAAATTACATTGTTGAATCATTGCCAAGATATTCTAAGAGAACTGAGAGTGAGAGCACTTATTTCTATTAGTATCACTCATCCAGACCCTATAATGATAAAATCATATTAATCCAAGGAAGACCCACTCCTACTAGACTAAAATCAACTTCCTAATTTCATAATGCTTGACTGTATCCTTTCACAATTTTTCATGTAGCAACACCTTTATAATTATAGTTGTACCTTTATGTTCCAATGGATCATACATGTATATCAACAAATTAAAAATAACTCATCTCATATCTACAAGTTTCAAAAGGTGCCCTTTTAACTTGGATAAATGACATGTTTTAGAGGAAGTAAAAAAAAAATTGCACTTGATGCAAGCATGTCTAAACCCCAGTTTACTGTGGGAACCTGATAGGAGTGATCTTCCTCGACTTTTCGGCTGCATTTGATCTTGTTGATCATGCCTACCTTCTTAGAAAGCTACAATGCTATGGTTTCGGTATGGCCGCAGTTGAATGGATGGAGAGCTATCTCTCACAACGCTTGCAGTGTGTTCACTACAATGGCCGTATCTCTTCCTTCAGGGATATCACATGTGGAGTACCTCAAGGGAGCTGTCTGGGACCCCTTCTTTTCAGTATATTCACAAATGATCTTCCTCTAGCCACAAAGGAGGCTGCCTCAGTTATGTATGCAGATGATACTTCTGCTTACACATGTGCACCGTCAATCTCTACAATCAACTCCACCTTGCAGAAAGAGCTACAACACATAAGTGACTGGGTCTTAATGAACAGGTTGTTTCTCAATGCAGGCAAAACAAAATCAATGGTAGTTGGGAGTAAACCAAAATAAAAAGAACCCAGTACTCACCTTATACTCTAATGGCCAAGTCATCCAGCAAGTAAAGGAAACAAAACTCCTAGGCAGTACTCTTGATGAGTGCCTCACTTGGGACAATCATACAAAAGTGACTGCGAAGAAGATGGCCTGTGCATTGGGAATGATAAGGAAATGTGCCACCTACCTGGACTCTTCATTACTTAAGCTGCTAGTAGAATGCCTCACACTCTCACACGTTGACTACTGCTCACCAGTTTGGTCCTCCACTTCACAGAAGAATGTTCAACAACTACAAGTCATGCAAAACAAAGCAGCTCGTCTGGTTCTACACTGTGACTTCAAAACCCCAGTACAACAGCTCCATGCGTCTCTGTCATGGCAGACTGTCAAGGAAAGGATTCTTGTAAACACTGTCTCTCAGCTACAGAGGGTCATTGCTACACATCAACCAGAAGTACTCTACAAACAGTTATGTCCTGTCTCCTACCACCACAGCCACAACACACGTCATGCTAGCCGAAACACATACTGTTTAATGAAACCCAAAACGAACGCCC